CAGGAGAGCTGTGTGTGTGGGTGGGGGGGGGCGGAAGGGGTAGGAGGAGGGGAGAGCGCGTGAAACACTGGCAGCGCTACATTAACTCAAATATATTTACTACCGTACAGCCAGTCGGCATGACATAACACCAGGAGTAAGATAATATCAGGAGTAAGATAATATAGGATCTCCTGGAGGATCTCCTCCTAATATATATCCTATATTATCTTACTCCTGATAATATATCCCTATTCCCATATATATATATATATCCCTATATCTCTATATATCCTATATTATCTTACTCCTGATAACACTTTCAAGCCACCAGTCATGTGAGCCCCCAACACCACCACGCTCATATTACAGCACACACATAACCTATATCTTAAAGAGGTTATGCATATAATATCGTATTAATATATGTATATATATCAAGAGTAGATAATAACACTGTTACTATCTTATATTAATAACACTGTTATTATCTAATCTTGATATATATCAGGAGTTAATAAAGACAAACTGTCTTTATTAATTTTTATTTATTAACTTCTGATATATATATGTATATATATATATATGTGTGTGTGTGTGTGTGTGTGTGTGTGTGTGCGTGTGCGTGTGCGCGTGCGCGTGCGCGTATGTGTGCGTGTGCGTGTGCGTGTGCGTGTGCGTGTGCGTGTGCGCGTGCGCGTGCGCGTGCGCGTGTGTAGTGTGTGTGTGTGTGTGTGTGTGTGTGCGTGTGCGTGTGCGTGTGCGTGTGCGTGTGTGTGTATGTGTGTGTGTGCGTGAGCGTGGTGGGGTGGGGCGGACTTGATCCCGCTGTCAGTGGCTTGAAAGTGTTATACCGTGCCGGCTGGCTGTACGGCAGTAAATATTTGAGTTAACGTAGACTCCGACCGATAAACATTCAAGCTCAGGCTGCGTTCCAACTGTGTAAACTGACACGTTTACAGCCTGTGTTAGAAGCCTCATGCACTAGCTACTACCTGTCGCAAAACATCAGTAGCTTGACATGCGTGCGTGCACTGCCATGATTAGGTACACAGAGCACACGAGCAGGTTAGCGTTTAGGGTTAGGGTTAGGCTCTCGTTGTTGCCCCCTCCCATCATGTTATGAGTAGGTGGCTGGCTGACTGGCGGGACTGCGTGCACGATCATAACTCAATAACTCGATAGCGATGACGCGCGTCACGTGACTGGCGAGATAGTGACGTCGTGTTGCGTTATGTGTCGCTATAGCAACAGGCCGACCACGGCTCCCCACGAGACGAGCTTCATCCCTCCCGGTGCGGACAGGTGCGGACGATGCGGCAAGGCGGTCTATGCTGCCGAGAAGAGAGTCGGAGGCGGCGGCGTAAGTACAACTCCCGCACGCACACACACGCACGCACGCACGCACACACACGCACACACACGCACACACACATACACACACACACACATCCCTCGCTATGTCCAACTAACATGCAGGAACGTTCTAATAACGTTTCACTTACAGTGCCGATTACGTTCTGATGTAACGTTCTGTTGAAAGATTGTGAAATTGTGCCGTGCCCCCAGATGTTTTAAAACAACGTACAGTCCCGGCAACCATAGCATATCTAAGCGTGCAAGTGGATCGAACAAAATAGACAGGGGGTTACATAGTTGGAAGAAAACACGCCCCATAAACACGCCGTAAAATAGAGAGCGGGCGAAAGACACAGAGACGGCGCTAGTACCTTTCATGTTTAAAACATTTTAACGACGCATGGTCTCACGATGTATATTTATCATTGATGGAGGAATATTTCTATATATTGTAGGAAGAATGTTTGTCTCACGATGGATTTCTGTTGTGTGTTTGTAGATCTGGCACAAAACCTGCTTCAACTGCGCCACCTGCCACAAGATGCTCGAGTCCGGAGTTGAGTGTGCAGCAGATAACGAAGTCTTCTGCAAGAGTAAGTGTTTCACGCGAGATCTCGCGGTACGCCGCAGCATCCGCTAGCTACCGATTTAGAACGTTTCGTCTGCTTTCGTGACGTCACGTACTCCGGGAAGTTAATGTTATAATATGCTAATATATTTTATAATATAATAATATAGTATAATATTACATAATACGTTTCAATGTCAATAAACAAAAACAAAACAAAAAATATATATATATTTTTGTTTTTGTTTACGTTATAATTCAATATAAGTTTCTGAGTTTAATCACTCATTTAATGATAAAACACAACGGGCATTAGAACGTGATTTAATTATTCCCACTTAAATAAATTACTGCGTTTAATTGCTACAATTAATTAATTGATTGTTAATTTTCTCTGCGCAGCTTGCTACGGCAGGAAGTACGGACCCAAGGGAGTTGGCTTCGGAGGCGGCGCTGGATGTCTTTCCGCAGAGTAAGCGTCATCTAACGACGGACAACCGAACTAACATCCGACGGACAAACACACTATTCGGCCTTCAGGATATTTGGATTTGCGCAGAGCACGGAAGTCGTGTCCCAACAAAAACACGAATTTGTTTACAGAAAATTTACGAAAACGTAAAGGAAACATTGAAGTTCCCCCCACCGCATTGATTCTCGGATTTATGAAAGAAAGTGACATCATTTTCTCGTCTTTTAAAGTTGAAATGACTTCTTATCGTTATATGGAGGTAGTTTTTTTTTTGTTGCGAAACGTCGGTGTTCGGCCGAGATCAACAAAACATCTGAACAGGTTTTTTGTGTTGAGGTCGGCTCCGATCGTTTTCTAGCAGTGACATAGATATTTTATTTCGCGTCTTTAATTTAATCATGTACATGTTTAATAATATCGTCGTCATCATCGCTTACAACACAAGAACGTCGTTTTCGACTCGCTTCGACCAGCATCAATGACAGCGCCCCTATCGGGGGCAGGGCCTGGTGCGTGGTAGCAACGTTAATTGATAATTGATATAATTGCGCGATAGAAACTCCTGCTCGGCTCTGGCATTAATTTACGCAAGCTGCAGTCACGCTAAGCCGAGCATGTCTTCTGCGCCCCTCCCCCCACACACCTCCCGCAGTCACAAACATTTCGTACAACAAATAAAAAGTTTTAATAAAAAAGAAATCACGCGTTTGTGCATTTTGTGATGTGTTTTTTTACGTGTTTTTATTGTAGATTGAGAGAGAGAGAGCGAGAGAGAGAGAGAAAGAGAGAGAGAGAGAGAGAGAGAGAGAGAGAGAGAGAAAGAGACGGAGAGAGAGAGTGTATGTGTGTGTGTGTGTGTGTGTGTGTGTGTGTGTGTTGTGTCGTGGTGTGTGGTGTGTGTGTATGGTGTGTGTGTGCGCGCGCGAGAGAGAAAGTGCAGAGAGAGGCGGGCGGAGAGAGAGAAAGAGAGTAGTGTGTGTGTGTGTGTGTGCGAAAGAGAGAGAGATGAGCGAGAGGAAGAGAGAGGCAGAGAGAGAGACGGGAGAGAGCGAGAGAGAGGAATAGTGGTGTGTGTGTGTGTGCGAGAGAGAGCGAGAGAGAGGAGAGACGAGAGAGAGAGAGGAGAAAGTCGAGAGCGAGAGAGAGAGAGAGAGAGAGAGAGAGCAGAGAGACGAGAGAGAGAGGAGAGGTGGAAGAGTGAAAGCTGAGAGCGAGAGAGAGAGAGAGAGAGAGAGAGAGAGAGAGAGAGAGAGAGTGGAAGAGAGAAAGCGAGAGCGAGAGAGCATTATATTATAAATCTACACGTGTCGACATCGCGGCATGCTCACTTCCGCTGTCGCATCCGGCCCGCACCGCAGGTGGTGTATTGCACACGAAATCGTCCGAAATGGTCGATACATCGCAAGACTTCTGTGAGAGCTATACTGAGTGTAGCTATACTGAGAGTAGCTATACTGAGAGTAGCTATACTGAGCTGTACTGAGTGTAGCTATACTGAGAGTGGCTACACTGTTAATTAAGAATGTACAAACACGCTCACACACACACATGCAGCAATAATGCGGTGGCCCATTCGACACGTATTGAACTTTAAGAGGAAAGTGTAACTTTAAGGAAAGCTTTAAGGAAACGCATTCTGTTCAGCAGATAGCAGCCGTCTGTTGTTATATACTATGGGAAGGCTCGGGTTTGGGTTAGGGTTTGAAAATTGCTAGTGTGTTTCAAATATTCACTCTCCCCCCTGTCCTGTTTCGCACACTCGCGCGCTCGCGCTCTCTCTCTCTCTCTCTCTCTCTCTCTCTCTCTCTCTCTCTCTCTCTCTCTCTCTCTCTCTCTCTCTCTCT